CCACTTAGGTCGCTGGCTCCATCTCTAGTCATCCACTTAGGTCGCTGGCTCCTTCTCTAGTCATCCACTTAGGTCGCTGGCTCCTTCTCTTGTCATCCACTTAGGTCGCTGGCTCCTTCTCTTGTCATCCACTTAGGTCGCTGGCTCCTTCTCTAGTCATCCACTTAGGTCGCTGGCTCCTTCTCTTGTCATCCACTTAGGTCGCTGGCTCCTTCTCTTGTCATCCACTTAGGTCGCTGGCTCCTTCTCTTGTCATCCACTTAGGTCGCTGGCTCCTTCTCTTGTCATCCACTTAGGTCGCTGGCTCCTTCTCTAGTCATCCACTTAGGTCGCTGGCTCCTTCTCTTGTCATCCACTTAGGTCGCTGGCTCCTTCTCTTGTCATCCACTTAGGTCGCTGGCTCCTTCTCTTGTCATCCACTTAGGTCGCTGGCTCCATCTAGGGATATAAACCAATAATGGTAACCAACGGATTCTCACTTCGTATTTTATTTTGAAGTGTGACGCTATGAATTGGATTCAAACTCAAGAGCAGATTTATATAAAGATTCATAGTATGAATGGCGTTGGAGAACATTGGTAAGTGGGACAATGTTATATCGGGTTTGAACGTAAAGACCGTTTCTTATGAACATAAGTTTATTCAACAAAAGACTAGCACTACTACAACAACGAATTTATGTTACTTTACTGTCATTCAGTGGCACGATAATAACAGCTAATTCAACAGCCTAGTAGAACCACGGCATCCTATCCGTAATCGCGGCCTGAATAATGACACTAACTAAACAGAGTTGTGGCCACTGATGAGGCAAGTTTGCAGCCCAGTATTGCTCCCAGCTCTCCCTGGAAGGTGAGTAGTCACAGTCTTGTTGACTCTCGCAGCCCTCCCAGCGAGGGACCAAAGGTAACTAGGTGGGTGAGCCAACACTGATAACCGCCCTATCAAAATCTTACGTTAACACTTGTCTCTCAAGACACAAACAACAATAGTAAAAATACACTGATTGAATTCAATACCAATTACATTAACTGACTGTCCACAGACAGACAGACAGTAACAATTCAATTACGTTAAAATACAGTCGTGTCTCAACGACACTCAACTGACAACAATAACTCGAAGGCCCTTAATTACACCACACTTGACCCGTCAAGCATTCTGTGAGTAATTGCCAATTAACTACTGTCACACCGACAGCCTATTAATTCAGACGAGTTATGTTAGACCATCTGTCACCCTACCGACAGTTGTCTCTATGGTCTATGACAAAATTACATTAACGAGAGTTCTATTTCTCTACTTCACTATGTTACTCTACACTCTGCATAGGCGGCCAACATCAACACTGTGACTTCGATTGATTGATTAAGATTAAGCCACCCAAAAGGTGGCACGGGCATGAATAGCCCGTAAGTGCTGGCCTTTATGAGTCATTACCAGTATCAATAGCTGATACTGGAGAGCTGTGGAGGTGCGACTGCACCCTGCGTGACGGGAGATGTCTTCCATACTGTGACTTCACTTGGTGGCGGGCGCTAATCCCCATATAATCAGCTACGAGTGCTAAATCCACTGTCCTCAGAAAGATACGATTAGTGCAACAAGTTACGCTAGCTCAGTTGACTACGCCCATGACAGGCTGTCAACTTTTGACGTTAATTAATTACTTAATTACTCTGAGCCACTAATTAACCATCCTTATGACGGTTAATTAGTCTCGCAAGTTTCGTGAACACTACTTTAGTCGCCCTCCCGACAATTCCTCACCACTGCCTGAACGCACTATGACTGATGCTAATTACACAAATTAGCAAGAAGTGATCAACTAGCTGTCTCACGGACAGATAATTGCACTCATATAATACGTTACTCTCAATGTAACAAACTAGGCTGGTTGTAAGAATTATTCCAGAAGGTTCCAGAAGTTTCGTGTAGGGACCTGACCTCAACAACGCACATTCCTCTGGGAATTAGCAGGTCTGAGTCACAAATGGCGGGCATCTTTGTTCATAGTTTTGTATAATGAACCATCCTATAGTATTCAGTAATTTAGAGAAATTAGCCTTTATTCATTTTGTATTAAAATTGTATTGTATAATATTCCTGGTTATAGTACCAAGAGTATTCTAATTATTAGGAGATTTGAGTTAAGTCACCATCAGTGACGTCACGAATCAGATCTTAAGTTGTAAGGTGCGAGTGACCGGCGGTCATAGGTCATCAGAGTTGATATGTCCACTATTTCTCAAAGTTCAAATAACCATTTTGGGGAACGGGAACAGCTCTGCCGTTAGATGCTTGTGTAATTTAACTTCAGTAAAATAATTCAACCAGTCTGGATCAATTAAGTACAACAGGGGTTAATTGTTATAACTTAAACCTGGCTAAGTAACTTGGTAAGCGATGCGGAACAATACAATGCTCTAGTCTGGGGAAGACCAGAGAGAGGGAGATCAGTGTGGACTCCAGATCAACTGGGAGAGGTCAACCATCTTACCTCCCCCAAGACCAGCCCCAACATCTAGCTGGTCGCCCAAGGTAGAGTTGCTTTATGAGTTTTATAGGGATAGTCAATTCATTGCCAAGTAGGGAGTGGTAGATTGATAGGGAATGCACACATTTAGATTTTGTTTTTGTTTCTTTTAATAAATTAATTAGTTAATAATTTGCATTTTTATTATTTCCATGTGTATGTATATGTATATGAATTTGTCCTGGTCACGTGGTCCCTACGAGGCAGAGTTGAATTGGGCGCCGATTCTAACACCAAATCGGAAGTCATCTTTACCGTTGATTGTGAATTAATTCCACACTCAAGTTTCCAAGGGCATATCGGTTATAGTGGGGATCAAGCCCCAAGGTTGATTAATTAGCATGATCGATCCAGACCTCGATCATTGCTCAGTGTTACTGGTCTGGTGGTGGCGACTCTAGGGTTTTGCTCAAAGTCTATGTCATGTCATACGGGTTGTAGAATCCTAAGTCGGTCAATCGTCTTAGGACCACATGGCGTGGAGTCGGCTTTAGTAAAGTTTTGGAGTCCCTTGTAGAGAAAAAAAGTAAGAATACGGGTAGAGGGAAAAAAAGGAGGAAAGATCAGGCGAGAACTCCCTTTCCACGTGTTATATCAACGCTGTTTCAACAACACATCAGTACCCTCATTAGGCAACACGTCCACTGCTGCGCAAGGATCACACGCAAAATTGTGAAGCGTTCCACATTTTTTTCCAGGAGGCCTAGTCGACGACCGGGCCGCGGGGACGCTAAGCCCAGGAAGCACCTAAGGTAACCTCAAGGTAGTGACGTTAATGACTTCAAGTTCTCAGGGAATCCTTCATGAGCTCACCACGTACTACACCAAGTACATTGTCAACAGATTACACAACACCGTACACTTGTAGCCCCGCTCAAATTGAAAGTCACACACACACAGTACATTACGTCAATAATAATTCACGGCCCTAACCACACACCACACAGTATAAATATATATATATATATATATATATATATAAAATAAATTTCATCGTGTTAATTTTCGTGATTTACACACACACACACACACACGTGTGTGTGTGTGTGTGTGTGTGTGTGTGTGTGTGTATTTACCGAGTTGTGCTTGCGGGGGTTGAGCGCTGCTCTTTCGGCCCGCCTCTCAACTGTCAGTCATTCAACTGTTACTAATCCTCCCCCCCCCCACACACACACACCCAGGAAGCAGCCCGTAGCAGCTTTTTAACTCTCAGGTACCTATTTACTGCTAGGTAACAGGGACATCAGAGTGAAAGAAACTCTGCCCATTTTGTTTCTGCCATTACCGGGGATCGAACCCAGACCCTAGGATAACGAGTCCAGAGCACTGTCCACGCAGCTATTAGGCCCCCCCTTCCCCCCGTACCTGTGTGTGTGTGTGTGTGTTCACTAAGTCCTGGGGGTCTCTGGGATATAGCAGTATTAGCCCCCCCCCCCGTACCTGTGTGTGTGTGTTCACTAAGTCCTGGGGGTCTCTGGGATATAGCAGTATTAGCCACACTTCCATTAGAGGGCCACAGGTTGACGTCCTCAAGCAAGGTTAGGTTAGGGACAGGCTTTGTGAGATTTTCTAAGTAGTTTTCTATTTTCATTGGTTGGTCTTTAAACTGCTGACAACTAGCCTCCGGTGACTTATATACAAGGTCACTAACTACATTTAGGATCTCTAATTTGGTTACCAGCACTTCCACCATATTGTTTGTGGTGTTTAGCAGCTCAGTACAGATGAGTGTGTCCTTGACGTACAGGCTGACTGTGTTTCCTGTCACAACTGGAAAGATTGTACTCCGAAATCCATATTTCACCATCATAGTAGTCCTTTGTGTGGGTTTCCGTTAGGGCTGCAAACATTGCATTTACCTCATGTAGAAGGCCAGCTATAATGTGGCAACCCGTTCTCGCAAATTTAATAAGTCAGTATTGACTTATTAGTTGCGTGCATAGGTGACATACTAAACATAATAGTTTCCTTTGAAAAGCTTTATAGAAAACACCGACCTTACCTAACCTACTTAGTATGTTAAAATAAGCATCTTATAGCTTCGTAATTACAATTGTTACTTAACCTATTATAGGTATAGGATAGGTAATAATTGTAATTACGAAGCAATAAGATGCTTATCTTAACATACTAAGTAGGTTAGGTAAGGTCGGTGTTTTCTATGAAGCTTTTCAAGGGAAACTATTATGTTAAGTATGTCACCTATGCACATATTTTATAAGTCAATATTGGCTTATTAAATTTGCGAGAACGGGTTGAATGTGGACTATGTTTGATTTGCGTGTTTTTTTTTCGGTGAGTACTCGCCTAGCTGTACTTGTTGTGGTGTGTTGCATGTGTGTGGCAGCAGAGCCTCAGCTCACCTCCATGTTTAGTTTATTTTGCGTATTGGTGTGTTTATCTTGTGTCAGTGACCTTGGGTATGGCATTTATCATGACTGGGGTTCCTTCCTCTGCAGGGTGGTGTCGGGCAGGCGGGTGTGTAGGCGTGGGCGGTGATGGTGGTGGAGGGTGAGGACCAGCACGAGCAGCAGCAGCGAGAGCAACCATGGGGTGCACGCCCAGTCTTCACGTCTCACCCACCGGTGTTATTTACTGTCGGGATAATGACGACTCACCGTTACACACCCCGGGGGCCGCCAACCACCAGCCGGTCCCCACCCAGCCCCCTCCGCTCACTCACAACCAGCACCAGGGTGAGTACACTCATCCACACTCATGTTTTAACTTCTGACTCTTTGTGTATTACATCTTTATTATGAATGCAAGGATTTGATTCTCATATATAAGAACATAAGAATAAAGAGAACTACAGCATGTATATCGACTCGTGGTGGTCCACCTCTGGACGACCCCTCTGGCACCATGTATCTGGCTCGTGGTGGTCCACCTCTGGACGACCCTCCCTCTGGCACCATGTATCTGGCTCGTGGTGGTCCACCTCAGGATGACTGCAGTAGTGGGAATTATGCCAAATCAGCGTGGTTTTGCTTCTCTCGGTGGCTCCGATTTGCATGCTAATTTTTTCCATGGAACTCAACGTCTCCGATCTGGTATAGTAAATTATTCCATGGGGTTTAAACAGCTCCCTTCTGTCTCCTACTATTTTTCCCTTTTATCAAATCACCTCATTCTTTGGGGCACACGTGAGGAACACAAATGCGAACAAGCCTGAATGGTCCCCAGGACTATATGCGACTGAAAACTCACACCCCAGAAATGACTCGAACCCATACTGCCAGGAGCAACGCAACTGGTATACAACTTCCTTATTTCCGGTCGTGATGGTCAAGCGGATTAAGGCGTCCTGTATACCAGTTGCGTTGCTCCTGGCAGTATGAGACTTCGAGGTATATATACACCCCAAATATCCCCACTTCCCAAGAGCACTAGAATAGTGAGGGGGTTACTCATACGTTTTTTCATCAAGCCACTGTTAATGTGTTTATGCAAGTATAGGCTTATAGCATGGACACGAGTTCTCCCACATTAACAGTGGCTTGATGAAAAAATGTATAGTAACCCCTCACTATTCTAGTGCTCTTGGGAAGTGGGGATATTTGGGGTGTATATATACCTCGAAGTCTCTACTTCTTTTAAGGGTCTGAGTGGTGTAGTGGGTTAAGGCGTACTAGTTATGGCAGCTACTGGAAGGTAGTTGTGCTTTCTGGGTTCGAGGCCCACTGGAGGGTGTTGTCCAAAGATTGTATATATATATATATATATATATATATATATATATATATATATATATATATATATATATATATATATATATATATATATATATATATATATATTGTTGGGGTTTCACCTCTCTATTCTCTTACTCTGAGGTGAGCAATAGTTATGCTCAAGGTAACTCACCGTAGCCCTGCGGGTCTTCACTCGATCCTCACGGCGCCACTGCACGCCAGGAGAGTCTCCCAGTCAATCTTAACGGCCTCTTATTAAGAAAAAGTGAGAACACGACTCATGCACTTGACTATCGTGTGCCCTCCCCAACAATTGGGCTCTACGGTTAACCACAAGGTCGCCAACTGGTGTTTTAGGTGGCCAGTAACACCATCAGTGGACTGGTGGAATTAGTGGTAGCCTTGGCAAGGTCACACTCAAAAGATCAGGAATCAGGCAGGTACTTATTGTTATCACTCTATGCTTACCAGTATAATATAGCCACAAGATCAATGGAGGAGATGATATAAACACAAAGATAGTTTTGTATTTTACTTAAAATGTATGAAAGATGTCACAAAGCCAAACAATAATCAATAAATCAACTGATCCTGACGCGGCCGGAAATTCCCACGAATAGTATGCGATCACTAGGGGCCAACACCTCCCCCCCCCTCATCAAGTGTCAAGAACAGCTGATCGCCTGGCCCCCGCGCGGAAGCTCTTTGCTTGTTTTCAGAATCACGCGCGCTGTTTCCTTAAGTTCTCCAATATTACTATGAACTCGCACACACGATATTGGCTACAGTAGCACGTATCACTTGGTTACACTGTACTCAGGCTCAAACAGTCTTTTCTACAATCAATGCTATAATGACTCACTGTAATGGTCTTACACTGTTATTCACCCAACAATATATTATGGAATATTAACACTGGAGTTTTCAGTACTTTCTCTCGTGGGCGATAACTCAATAATTCACTGTACTCACAAACGACTTATCACTGCATGAACATAGCATATATAATGTAGACACATCAAATATCAATACATGGAAAATAAATGATTTCTGGGCACATAGCCTAACCTTCAAAACCTGGCATAATCTTATATATAATTTACCACTATATGTTCATATCAAAATCTATAGAAAGATATACACAACACAGTAAATTTATCACTTGTTCCTGGTGCCTGTACACACCAATAATCAACATGAATATTACAAGTACTCTTGATAGTACTGTCTAGCACACTGGTGCTTTACCGTGACATGGGTGAGACTTGCTCACGACATATAAAATCCTCAGGCTAGATAATATAGCCGAATAACATAGCTAACTAAAAGGGGAATGGGGAGGGAACTAGAAACACCTACTTCACCCTATCCTCCGATGAGAGTCGAGATGTAGCTCCTGGTCCTCGTGTCGGGAACGCCCCCACACTACACGTCGTCGTGTCCTACCGGAGCCTCTCGTCGTCCCACCGTTTAGCGCGTCGTCTCCGTGCCTCCTCACTGCAGGTCCGTCCTCCTTCTTGACTTCTTGAAGGTTGGAGTCGGTCTCCTGGCCGTCGTCTTCTCCCAGCAACGGCTGTCGCCTACGTCTCAGCTACAGTCGTCCGGTTTCCCCAAATAGTCCTCTCTTCCTCAGCTACCCAGTGGCTCTGTCAGCCACTACGCTGTCACGAACTGGTGAATTGCCACAGACGTCAACATACGTCACTGCACAGCTTCACTGCTTCTTGCACAGCACCTGACTGGAGCACTTGTTGCTCAAATAACCGTCAATTCCCTCTTCTGGTTCAACACATGAACTAGGGAAGACTTCTCAGAGTACTGGCGGATTTCAGGTGACGCGTAAATCCACGGGAGCGGGAAACGACTGTCCAACTGACAGGACCAACCGTCGCACGTCCGACCTCTATGACGTGTCGTGTCTGACTGATGGCGCCAAAGTGGCGCGCGGCCTGGACCCCCTTCCTTCGTGACGTCACTTTCGCTACGGGAAGTTTTCATTGGCTCCCGGTGCCACATTGCTGTCGGTGACCAATCCGGTGCCACTGACGTCACACGGTTTTGGCGGGAGATCAGGGAGGCAAGCGCCATCTTGGCTCCCTAAAGGGCCTAAACCACAGGCCAAAATATTACGATTTCACAAATTTCTCGGCTCTCCGAGAACACTTCACTCTCTCCCATATATCAAATTGTAGCCTGCAACGTAGAGAACGCTTGGGAAAAGTAGACATGACTCTTACTGCAGGCGTGGGAGAATTATAAGGGGGGGAACTCCGTCACAATATATATATATATATATATATATATATATATATATATATATATATATATATATATATATATATATATATATATATATATAATGTTATAATATGTATATATATATATATATATATATATATATATATATATATATATATATATATATATATATATATATAATATATATTACACACACAAATGTGTGTGTAAATCACTAAAATTAACACGTGATGGAAAATGTGACAATGTCAGACACCACGGAGGAAGAATTGAAACAGGAATTTCCTTAAGTACTTTCGTTTATTAATACATCTTCAGAAGGAATGAATCATTTACAAGTCAAATATTAGACAAATGTATAGACAGGAGAGAGAGGTGAAGTGAGGTCCAACAAAAAATTAATGGGAATTAGGTGAATACAAATAAGAGCCGCATAAGAACTGCAGAAGGCCTATTAGCCCATGCGAGGCAGCTCCCATATATAACCAACAATAGGCCCACACGCAGGCGATGAGTTACAATAACGTGACTGATGTATGTTGACCAGACCACACCAGAAGAACCAGAAGAACCAGAAATCTGTTGACCAGAAGGTGAAGGAACGACGACATTTCGGTCCGTCCTGGACCATTCTGTCAAGTCGATAGAATGGTCTTGAATCGACTTGAAAATGGTCCTGGACGGGCCAAAACGTCGTCGTCCCTTCACCTTTGAGTGTGTGGTCTGGTCAACTAGGCCCACACATGGATAATAATAGCTTAATATAGTAAATATTTACAAGGAATTAGTGAGACAAATGTGTATCAATGATCCTACTCAAATCGCCCTTCAATTTATTTATTTATTTATTTATTTATTTATTTATTTATTTATTTATTTATTTATATACAAGAAGGTACATTGGGTTTGTGAGAATACATTGGATAGTACAGTATTTACATTCTTGTAAAGCCACTAGTACGCACAGCGTTTCGGGCAGGTCCTTAGTCTAGCAGATAATTTTAAGTTGGTAATTTCTATCAGAATTGATAAATGATAAAGATACATTGCAAGAGAAAAATGAGATGAGGAGCTTAGTAAGTATATTAAAGCACATTGTTATATTAAAGCTCTGATTGATTACATTGACAGCTTGAATAGTAATTTAAACAAGATTAATAGACACCATACAGCAGATTGACAGCACATATAAGACAGCAATGATCACAATGGTAAAGATGTTCAGATTGGGTACATAAAGATTGGGAGACTGGGTAGCAAAAGATACAGATAAACAAGATTTATAAACACCATACAACAGATTGGCAGCACATATAAGAAAACAGCAACGATCACAATGGTAAAGATGTTCAAATTGGGAACATAAAGGTTGGGAGATTGGGTAGCAATTGATACAGTGCAATTTTAAAGCAAAAAGTGAAAAACTATGAAGATGAAATTAGGTACTTTTAAGTATTGATTTTGAATGATGTAAAAGTTGGACAGCTTTTCAATTCAATAGGTAGTGAATTCCATAAACTGGGTCCCTTTATTTGCATAGAGTGTTTACACAGATTAAGTTTAACTCTGGGGATATCAAAGAGATATTTATTTCTGGTGTGGTGATAATGGGTCCTATTACATCTGTCCAGGAAGAGTTTCAGACAAGGATTTACATTTAAGAACAGGGTTTTGTAAATGTAGTTGACACAAGAGAATTTGTGGAGTGAGATTATGTTTAGGGAGTTAAACAAGGGGGCTGA